AGGCTCACAGACAGTCCCCCCTTCAATTCTCTGCCCAGTTCCTACTCTGATCTCTACCTGGCACTGTAACAATGAAGTTCAATGTAAACTTGAGGAATTCCATCTCGTTAACACAACACTTTTCAGCCTGTAAATCCCAACAGTGATGTTCAACAATTTTGGACCTTAGCCAGCATTTGCATTTTCTCTCAGATGTTCTGTAACCAATGTCATCTCTTCTTGTCCACCTTTGTCTTATTATTGCTCCTGAACACTTTGTCATTTAACCTCTTCTGCATTCCATCCACTTTCCTGCACTGGCTTAAAAATCACTTCCAAATCCGATGAATAGCCATTGGTCCTGAAGCTTTATGAAGAACCATGTTGTGGCATCACAGCTCTCACCTGCCGATCTCCGCTCTACCTCTTCTGGGGAAGCCCCTGTCAAACCACACTCTAGTCAGGCAATAACAAGGCCACCCTTGGGTCCTTTTGCTGGGGTCCAAGGCCATGGTTACTGCTGGAATCCCAAAGGCCTGGGATCAAAGAACGCCCAGTGGTTGTGTGTATGTGTGTGTATATGTGTCTGTATGTGTGCGTGTGTATGTGTATGTGTGTGTATGCGTGTGCGTGTGCATGTGTGTGTGTGGTTCTCACAAGGAGAGGGACCATAGAAGGTTGAGGAAAGTGCAGGAAGGGTGTGGTTCATCAGGCCTTGTGCTTACCGATGCTCAATCCCTTAATCAGCCACCAACTGCCTTGGATCATGAGACTCCTTCCCCACCCCAAGGGGGAAAATAGTTCACACAAGCTGTCCTGTCAACAACAGGCCAACTTGTCTCTGGAAGGCAATGGCAGAGTAATGTCACTGGATGAGTAATCCAGAACCCCGAGTTAATGTTCTGGGGGCAAGGGCTCAAATCCATGGCAGATGGTGAGATTTGAATTTAATAAGAACCTGGGATTTAAAAGTAAAGCTGGCCTAAAGGCGACCATCTAACCCATCTGGTTCACTAATGTCCTTTAGGGAAGGAAACTGCCATCCTTACCTGGTCTGGCCTACATGTGACTCCAGAGCCACAGCAGTGTGGTTGACTCTGAACTGCCTTCTGGGCAATTAGGGATGGACAATAAATACTGCCTGGCCAGCGACACTCACTCCCATGAAATAACTTTTTTAATAATCTGCCACTTAAGGACCTCAGTTGGTGCAGAGGTGAGTTGGGAATATTGGTCATGGGCTTTCCAACTCAAACCTGAATTCAGGTACATGGAATCATAGTATTCCTCCAGCATGGAAGCAAGCCATTCAACCCATTGAGTCCATACCAACCCTCTAAAGAGCAGCCTAACCCAGTCCCATGCCCCTGCCCCGTAACCCCATATTAACCATGGCCAATACACCTAACCAATGGGATGAAACCACAGCATGCAGAGGAAACCCACACAGACACGGGGAGAATGTGTAATCTCCACACCTGAGGCTAGAGTTGAACCCAGGTCCCCAGCACTGTGAGGCAGCAGTGCCAACCACTGAGCCACCGTGCCACTTAGCTAAGTGATGTTCCCACCTCCCAAGCTCACTGCCAGCAAGTGCCAATCATTCTGCCATTTGTCTGTCTCTCTGCAATCTTGGTGCAATGTGAAATACACTGCCAAAGCTTTTCACCCGCTGTCTCCGTGGAATAATGGATACCTTGCTCAGATCATTGTTTGCTGAATTTCACGCAAACTTACAAAAGGTCCATCACTTGCACAGCCAGAAAGTGACCTGTCAACCTCAAAATTACATTGGAAGTGCAAAGTGTCTCGAAAAGGTGAAGTGGCTAAGGAAGCAGTTCTGTGCTGCTATTCCACAGAGGTTATGTGGATGCTACTTTCCAAGAATGGGATTTAGCTGGCAGTCCAAAAAGATGGATATTCTCTCCACCACACAATTGAGCATCGTTGTGTATGAACTTCAGTGCCCCTGCAGTGCCAGGTTTACAGGCCATATGTCCCAGCAATTGCCTGATTGATTAAACAAGTCGCTTCAGTTGTTCGTAATAAGCAGAGTTCTCAATTATAATTGAACATCAATTTACTCAAATGACTGCACTCAATTACACTTAGTAAACCCAGAACAAAATACCTACTGTTAGATAAGATTGTGCAGTCAGACAATACTTGCTGAACAAGCCCAAGGGTGCTACTAGCTGCACTAACAAATGGTAGTGAGTTTGCAGATGACACCAAAACTGGTGTTGTAGTGGATAGTGAAGAGTGTTATCTCAGAGTACAATGGGACTTGATCAGATGGGCCGAGAAGTAGCAAATGGAGTTTAATTTAGATAACTGGGAGGTGCTGCATTTTTGAAAGGCAAATCAGGACAGGACTCATAACACTTAATGGTAGGGTTCTAGGGAATGTTGCTGAACAAAGAGACCTTGGAGTGCAGTTTCATAGTTCCTTGAAAGTGGAGTCGCAGGTAGACTGGGTAATGAAGAAGGCGTTTGGTACATTTGCCTTTATTGGTCAGTGCATTGAGTACAGGAGTTGGGAGGTCATGTTGCAGCTGTACAGGACATTGGTTAGGCCACTTTTGGAACACTGCACTCAATTCAGGTTTCCCTGCTATAGGAAAGATGTTGTTCAAATTGAAAGCATTCTGAAAAGATTTACAAGGATGTTGCCAAGGTTGGAGGGTTTGAGCTATAGGGAGAGGCTTAATAGGCTGGAGTGTCAGAGGTTGAGGGGTGACCTTATAGAGGTTTATAAAATCAAGCGAGGCATGGATAGGGTGAATAGTCAAGGTCTTTTCCCCAAGATGGGGAGTCCAAAACTAGACAGCATAGGTTTAAGGTGAGAGAGGAAAGACATAAAAGGCACCTGAGGGCCATGTTTTTCATGCAGAGGGTGCTGTGTGTATGAAATGAGCTGCCAGAAGAAGTGGTGGAGGCTGGTACAATTACAACATTTAAAAGGCATCTGGATGGGTACATGAATAGGAAGAGTTTAGAGGGATATAGGTCAAATGCTGGCAAATGGAACTAGATTAATTTAGATTATCTGGTCACCATGGACTAGTTGGACCGAATGGTCTGTTTTTGTGCTGTACATTGCTATGACTCAAAGCTCATAATGTGGCTCATTCACTCTTGCTGCAAGTGACATATGCAGGGACCCATTCTCTGCAAACAAAAGGAATATGATCAGGCTTTAAGCCTTTTTTGATTTACTCAGGAGCTTGGGAGCCTATTGTCTCACATTGCTTTCTCTGTGGCAACACTTCAGACAGTCAGAGTTAACTTTGAAACCAACCACCTTTTTTCCCCTGTGTTATAAATTGTTGTGATCATTTGAAATTTGCCATTCTTGCATTTGTCCTGATGAGTGCCAATCACAACAGTTGGGGGAAAAGAAATGTTTTCTGATGAAGGTTCTAGGCCCGAAACATCAGCCTTTCTGCTCCTATGATGCTGCTTGGCCTGCTGTGTTCATCCAGCTCTGCACCTTGTTGTCTAGTATTCAACATCAAGCCACATCTGGAGATATTGGGACAAGTGAAGAACAGTTTGGTTTTAAGGAGCATCTTAAAGGAAGAAAAGAGAGAGAGAGAGAAAGAAACACAGAGACAGAAAGAGAGAGAGAGAGAGAAACACAGAAACACGAAGAGAGAGAGAGAGAAACACACAGACAGAAAGAGAGAGAGAAACACAAAGACAAAAAGAGAGAAACACAGAGACAGAAAGAGAGAAACACAGAGACAGAAAGAGAGAGAGAGCAAAACAAGAGAGAGAGAGAAACACAGAGACAGAAAGAGAGAGAGA